CCCTTGGAAGGGGATTCTCCAATTTTAGAATGCAAAAAAGATATCAAGTCGGGAACGTACAAAGATGTTTGTCTCTCTCCCGCTTCATTTTCTTATCTTGATTGCAATGTTCTGTTAATTTTATTTTTAATTTTGTTATGACATTGAATGGTTAAAAGATAAGAACCTATATTTTTAAGTTTTATTTTGTGCTTGTGTAATAATATTTCATATTTGCTCTTTTTTCTACTCGGTTTTCTCAATTAGTAGTGCTATTTGTGTTTACATTTGTTTATATTTAACATTGTGGATGGGAAATGCTTGTTTTCTTAATTATGAATTTATAAATACTATGTAGAAATGGAGTTCTTGTGATACGACAAACAAATTTTTGGTTTTTGTTTCGCATGTATGCAAGCTTGTTAGTTCCTAGTAAATAGGGATAGCTAGTTGAATTGAATAAGTCCATATAACCTTTGGAGTCCAAGGTTAACATTAGAGGCAGTTATTGTAGTAGATCATAGCTATTTAGTAGGTGTTAGTTGTTGTTAGTAGATCATGGCTATTTAGTAGCGGGCAAGCTTTAGATGCTTCCCCTACAACATAAAACTTATATACTTCCCCTTATCCAACCGTTCATTCAGAATCGAGGGCTAAGATTGCCCCATTCACAATATCACATCTCTACACTATTTTATTTTTAATTTTTTTTTATAAACTATTTTGATACCAAATTTTGTATGTTCAATCCTCTATTAAACTCATGCTAGCAGAAAATATAAAAAAAAATATTTTCAATAAAATAAAATAACCAAAATACCCCTGAAAATTTCAAAATGTTTCAGGGGTAATTTGTTCATTATATTTTATCGAAAATTTATTTTTAATATTTTTTATAAGTGTGCCCCAATGAAAGACGGCACATAACAAATTTAATATTCATACAATTGTATAAACAAAACTAAAAATAAAATACTTTGAGACATCGGATCTAAGATCAAATGGTGAGTGGCACTCTTGATCAAAATTGGACCATTGGATGGTAGGGGAAGCATAGATCTTCTATGTTCTAAGGGAAGTATAGAAACCTTTCCCTTTAGTAGGAGTAAGTTGTTGTTAGTAGATCATGGCTATTTAGTAAGAGATAATGTAGCGAAGTTAGGTATCTTTTATTGTATTTAAGAACGTAAAGAAGCTAAGGAAGATTATCTTGAATTATCAAATAGCAAATTGAGTTGGTGCAATCTCCCTTCTAAGATTATTCTCCTTAAATTATGTGCTTTTTCCTTTCGAGCCGTGTTCTTAACACTCATACATCATAGCTCGAGGTAAAAAAAAGTCTTCCTTATCCTCCCCTTCGAGGCCAAAACATAGAACTTATCAATTTGCTCTCTTATCCTCCCCTTTGAGGATGCAAAATTTAGAACATACCAACTCCCAAGAAGATCTTAGAGAAACTTCTGAAAGAAATCGAGCATTACTTGTATAAATTTTACATTGATTGGACGAATGGAGAGGAGTACCTAGGGACCCTAAAGGATCAACAGGGCGATATCACATTCTCACTGGAGCTAGTCAAACATTTGGCAGCAATGGAGGCATCTAAACGTGTACCATGAGGTTAGAATTTCTTTGTTGTGATGGAACTAACACAACTGATTGGCTTTTCAAAGACAAACAGTATTTTAATTATCATGAGGTACTTCCAGATCATTGGCTAACCATTGCATCTTTTAATGAAGACAGAGAAGCACTTGAATGGTATTAATGATATGTTGAATACCAACCGGGGGCTT